CTTGTCAGAATAAGAAACAAAAGATTTAGTTTTAGTGTCTTGCTTTCATGACAAATTCATCCAATATTTTGCATGCTAGTCGTTTTAGTGTCTTGCATTCATGGCAAATTAAATTCATCCAATATTTTGCATGCTAGTGTTTTTCCTCCAGTCCTCTATTACCCAAGAAGCTGATGTTATCCACTTGCCCAGAAGTTGGCCTAAATTTAATGACTAGCAATCTTTAGAAGAAATATCAGTTTGTTTCAAAAAACAAAAAATCTTCCAGTGATCTAGAAAGACCACAGATACATGCTAGCTAAGGAAGAATCCTATGTGTCCTATGTGTCTTGAATGATTGATTTGTAGCAGCACGCTTGGCATTGCACAAGACCAGAAAAAGAACTCTACAAGTCTTAAAGGCTTGTAACATCTTGTTATATTTAGTTAGTAGGTCTTTGCATAGCTTAGCTTTTTCTAAGAATAAAAAAATAACAAGCAAACAGACATAAGTAACATGCATTAGGAAGCCATTTCCAATTTTCTGCTATAAAACAAATCACCATAGCAATCTTGTCTTGGAACATATAGCCCAATAGTTGTCTTTCCTCCCCTTCATAATTCATCTGAGGGAAAGAAGAAACATGCTCAATGTGATCAGTGCAAAGTTAAGTTAAACTGGACACAAGACACACATGAGTACACTTCAGTGCTTAATTTCAACACTGTTTAAGAGGAATGCAACTCATGCAAAACCACTGTGGTGGCAGTTTAATCCTGAAGAAGAAATACATGGAGCGAGTTAAAAAGGTGCTGTTTGGTGTTGCTAGGGGCCAATGCAAAATTAAAGCAATGCCAAGGTCACCACTCCTAAAGACACAAAAACCACCACCACTACAAAAACACCCCCACACATACACCCTGAACAAGAACACACACAAAGAGCGAATTCCTATTGAAAAATGCTCAAGTTCTGCATCTAAAAAGAAAGCAAACAAAAATCCCCACACTTTTAACCACACTAGGGTTTCCCTGAAACTCCATTTGAATATTGTGGTTGTGCTATAGCCTACCGCTATAGCTGTGCTTACTCCTTGAAATAGACTAGATGGGGTAAGCTAAGGATTCAAACCTAAATTGGTGAATAAAGTATAACATCTTTCCGCATACCTCACAACAAAAGACTTCCAGTAAACAAGCTTATTTCCACATGCAAATAGATAAGCCTCCCACATGTGTTTCTGATTAAGAAGTTTTATGCTTTTCAATGCCAGTGCTCATCAAGTTCATACGGTCAGTAAGAGCACTGCAATTCAGCTGTTAGTTTGGCAGAGTTTCTAGTAAAGGACTCTCCCTCTTATATGCAAAAAAAAATTCTAAAAAGCTAGTTCGAATTTAAGATAGTTTATAATTGTGTGCCAACATGACCATCTCATCTCCCATCAGAAGCTGTAGCTGTAATACTACACTTATTGAGATACAAGTTAATTAGTCAAGAAGAAAATTTATCATTTCACTGCTGTTTGAGCAGATAAGACTGTAGTTCAGTAGTACTGTGATTTGCCATAACTTCTGAATTAGTTTAATTTAGCTTAAGATAGCTGCTGGCATAAATGCCTATTAAAATAGCTTTTATGTATAAGCTATGAGGTTAGAGTTTACAACGAATACAAATCTGCAATTTTTATAACTTAAAATAGTAAGAGCCAGTAAGTGTACTTTATTTAGACAAGAAATTAGTGTTATACAACTTGATAACAGCTCTTTTTAAAAATTAAGGTAGTCACTTCCACAAATTTGAGATATGAAAGGAAATTTATAGTCCTAGCTATATTCATGTGGTAAATAAGTCAGTTAAACACAGAACTTCAAATTATCTTTAAAACACACTTTAGGAAAACAGCAAATCAACGAGCAATATGAAGACCGTATACAGAGATGTTAACCACATGCAATGTTCTCTTAGCAAAAGCTTCCAATAACCAAATGCCTTCATAATATGTGCATAAATATACCTTACATTAAGCTAAGGAAAAGAAAGAATGCCTGGCCTAATAACTTGAGTCTTATCTTCTTTTGCATTTATATCTAATGAAATTAAGTTGGAGCAATAGAAACAATATACAAACTTATATGTACATCGTGGTTTCATTTAAGATAACTTTGGAAAAAATAAACCCACATTCATTTTTGTAGCCTACACACCACTAAACTATTTTTCTTTACCTTCTCCAACGCAAACTTGGAATTTCCTACTGAAGACAGCGACAACTTGTGGGATCCAACGAGGACAAAATTAGTAGTTCGCACAGCATTAGGGCCACCTGGACTGGCCGTGGCTATGGAGAAAGAAGTTAAAGACAGGTCGAGATAGACACCTTACACAATTACAGTGCTGTGAAATTTAGGTAGGCCAGGAGAAGCAACCTTTGCAGCACATCCTGGAAGCACAGACAGGATTTGGGTGTGGTGCTACTCAATATGGTCTCTCTTGGGAAGCTCTGAAATACACCCAAGAGCATGTGGGGGAAAGAGCACGTTTGGAGGTCTCATGGGGACTGACACCACAAAGCACACACGCCCTGCCATTAGATCTTGAGAAAAGGCAAGGTATTTAAAAGCTAAAGGCAAAACAGCCATAGTGTTATACGGAAGAGGCTCACTGCAATCTTGCAGGACTTGCCTGTTTATACTGCATGGGGCATTATATACACATATATATATATATATATATTAAAAAAAAAAAAATACACACACACAAAAAGGTCTCAAATGCTTCGCCCCCACATGGCCTCAGGTACAGGAGTCAGTTCTAGTAGCTTGGTGGTTAGCTCACAAGTTCCTTATTGCTACCAGCTTGTACTAAACTAGCTCAAGTACATCAAACTGCAGGCACACAAGAACACAGGCCATTTTTATTTTTACATAGCCAAAGGAACACTTGTTTGTAGATGCTGTTTCCTTTTTCCCCTCAAGGATCAGAAAAAGGAAGAATTTTGTTGAAAACACTATACAAAAGCAATATTTCAGAGTCTGATTATATTTTCAAGAATCTAAAGGTGGTTCTGATTACTGAGCCTGTTGACATCGGACTATATCTTTAAATTCCTAAAGATTTCAAGTCAAAGGCAAGTGATATAAAATACAGAAATGTAATATTTTTAAAGGGAGCTTCCACTAAACATAATGGGTAAAATACTTAATGAAGGGTGAGTGTCAAAGCTGGAAAACTACCCAATTATCAGCTGTTAGAAGTATTATTTAAATAGATGCATTGTTTTTGACATCAAGTGCTAATTTTCACCTTGGTAGAAAATGCTTATTTTGGCTTACCTGGGGTAAGAAGGGTGCTTTTCTAGAAAGACAGAGAAACAGAAAATTAGTGGAAGACAAGTTTCTGGCAATTTCTACAGAAAACTAAAGTTAACTTAGAAAAAAAATAGATTTCAAGTATTTAAGAAAAAGACTTGGATATCTAAGTAAACATGCAGTAACTGCAAGTTTCCAGCATTAGATACTTAGAGCAATAAAAAACTTGAGCTCCAGCTGAACAGTCTAGCAGAAAGCTGGACAATTTAAATAGTTTCAAGTAAAGGATAAAGAACCTATTGCAGGTGTGACCTTATTTCAAGTGAAAATGACTTTGGAAACAGTCATCTAAAATTTGTTAGTATTACATTCATACTTACAGAGGTAATAGATGTTAATAATCTCTTTGGAGTAATAACCTACAAAGAGAAAAATAAGTGTATTTCAATTTCATACTACAGAATTTGTCTAGTATATTAGCATGTAAATTAAACAGTGAAACCACTTAAGGCTTATCCAGATCAATTTTGAATAGCTACTCTTTCCTGTTATGAGTCAGATGTTCCATTCAAGCTAATATATACTTAAACTTGGATTTTTTTTTTTTTAGTCTTCATCTTATCAATATTTAGCTTTTCTTCCTCTGATATTTGCTACATTCAGTAGAAGTTGAAAAAAAGACTATGTGTATCTGAAAAAGCTATCTCAGTGTATTTTTTCTTCCTTCATAAATACATTTGCTTATTAAGAGGACACAAATACAGACATTTTTAATATGGTAACGTTCTATATTATGCATCAGTATTTTCAAAGGAAAAATTTAATTGAGACTATGTATTCTTGAAGCTGAAACAAATCTAAAGTGGCTTATCAAAGAAAAAATAAAGTAGTATAGTCTAGTTAAAATGGAGAATAGGACACACAACATTAAGGAAGGCAACCACACATTAAGAGTTTGTAAAGCATAGCATTTTATAGAACTAAGAGCATTTTCTAAGACTCCTCTCCTTCCTCTCCAATATATTTCAGACTTAAGTGCTGGAGGTCCAATCTACCTGAATAGAATAGCTAAAGGACTCCATAATCCATCTGTCCTTGCAGATGTTCCAAGAAAGAATAAGGAGAGTAAAAGCAATCAGACTAAGACTCTTATTCAGTTCTCTCTGAACACTGCAGTCTTTCTAGCATATCTTCTGTTGAAATAAAACATTATGATTTTCATGTTCTATTTACCTTAGATTTAGTTGCCTTTTTCCTTTTATCAGTGCTTGGAACTTCTTTTCTTTGTACCTTTAAGGCAAGAGAATATTAAGAAAAATATAACACTTCATACAGCTTTATAGATGCTTTTGACAGGCACTGATACATACCAAACTGTAAACTTCTATATTTATTTCAAAATCATTGGACACATCCTGCCTAAAGTGGAGAAAGCAAAGGGGAAAGAAAAAAAAAAAAAGTTAAACATGGACTGAGGCAACAAGTACTTTCCCCCTCCCCGCGTAAGTTGCTTGGCTCTTCTGCCCACCTTCTGCTTTCTAAAAATCAGGCAAGTTCCCAAGGCAGCAGTTAGGAGCATCTAGGTTCTACTCAGGAGATGGTCGACCCAGGTGCTAACAGCCCATCTCCTATTACTAAGGCATAGCTGTCCCTGCAGGTCAGTAGGCCTCAGATTCCTTTCCACAATCAGAGTTTCCAGTGCAGACAATATAGCAATATATTAATACACTGTAATATCAAGATACTCCACAGAACTCCAAAAAAAAAAAAAAAGTGAAACAGATCCTGCTCATCTACCATCCCTCAAAAAACACCTTTTTGTCTACTACTAGTACATACATTTCTAGAAGCAGAGATGGGTGTTGAGTAACTAGCTTAAAGCCTAACTCTAGGAATTATCATTTAAAGAAGGCTTGCTTGTTAATTTTGGAAAGGTTTTACCCCCACTTTTTTTTTTTTTTAAAAGAACAAAAAGAAACAGCCATTTGAACTCAAGATTTCTTTAGCTAATGTTGAGAGCTACCAGCTGAGAGGTTTAGTTTTAACAGAGCTATTTTTTCAGACGCAGAATATAAATAGCTATGTAAAACATTAGTTGTGGCAAAACAGAAAAACACAATCTCAAGGATAGCATCTATCTGTCGTTGCCGGTGTTCCAGAAGAGAACAAAATGCGAAAAGCAAATGACAGATTAGCTGATGTATAGCGGAATCAGTTTAGGCAGCTGCATTTTTCTCAAAAGAACAATTTCTTCAAACAGGAAATACCTGTAACCACAAAAGCTCACAATATTTGTTCAGAAAATATGTATTCAGAGAATATATTGTATAAGAATTTAAACAATATTTTCATGTATATTTCACAAGAGTCAAAGATGGAACCGGTTCCAAAGCAGCTTCTTTATACTTACATAGTAAATGTTGTAGTGAAAGTAAGAGCATCTCCATTCAGGGAGCTTGTAGTGCTTGCTAAGGGAGTTGCAACCATGTTTTCTGCTCCAGATCTCAATATTATTACATAGTAGTAATTTGCTGCTTCTGTAAATACATTTGAGATAATTTTGTTTGGTGTCCAATATCTAAAGTCCTCAAGTATTGCATTTTCATTAAAAAGGTGTTTCAACCCAATGAAGAATTGATCATAAACTTATTTCAGAGTAAAATAACTATTTTTCTTACTTTGCCCACTAGGAAAACTGGCTTCACAGTGACTGCATTACTACCTAAGGCACCTCAGGACAGACGACCCAGCATATGAGAGTAAAGAGGAGAGCTTTCAGTCAGATTCAGTGGTCAACCATACTTCCCGAGGACTCTACTGTTTTTCTTCAGACCTGTCTGCTTTAGTAAGCATTAGTTTTCTCCAATGTCCAGTCTCATCCTTTTTTCAATTCCTATGAAGGGGCCAGTATCTAGGCAACTCATTTCCCTGACTTTTCACAAAAATGGAGGGGGGGGGGGAAGTACACCACAAGAGCACATCTCAGCAGCCAGAATACAGTTTGGAGTTTCACTGTAGAAAGCTGCGAAATGGTAGAGCTAAGGGTAGTATACTATCGTATCACGTTAAAAACAAATAACCACACAAATGGTGACTAGTACATTACATTAGGATAAGTCAAAACTTTCAAAACTGTTGTAAGCTCCAGTAAAGATTTGTTTGTATCTTTCATTTTGATCTTCTCTTCACAAGAAATAAAGAGTATAATTCTGGCACACAGAACATGCATAGCATGACAAATAGTTCATAGTTGGTTGTTTAGACAATTCAGCTCCAGAATATTGAGAGAAACTAAGCTTTTTTATAGCCATTAAAGGACTTTTACATAAAGCAAAGAGCTGCACAGCATGTCTCAAGATTTCAGGAGGTTAAACGCATCATGCTTTTTCACCCATATTCTCATCTGTGTTCTTATTTAAAGGCAAGAAGAGTCACTCCATGCTTCATACCACAGTTAAAGCTGGAAAAGTATGTGAATTCATTAGCAGAACTTTTGCAGTAACTTTGTAGAACTTTGCCCAATAACTTTTGTTCTGAATTTTTAGTGAAGCAGGAAGCAAGAAAAAGCATTTGAAGTATCTGACCACAAACAAGCCCTGGGGCATTCTATTAAATAGCATTGGTTATAATGAACTACTAAATTGTAATCTTTAAACAATCACATGGCACAATAGTTTATTATGTTCCAGGACATGTCTCGGGACCTTCAGAAAGGTCTTGTCAGACATTTTTCTAGCAAGAATTAGATTTATCTAGCCCAGAACAAAAGAAATAAAATCTACATTTTAACACTTTAATGACTTATACATAACAAGAAATAGAAGGCAAGTATCTGGGCATGTTAAGAGACTGACTAAAGAGACTTAACACTCCTTTCACAAAATAGAGGTCAATTAACATATTGATAGAGTACTAAACCTAAGGCTTTCTCTGTTGCTTTCTCTTCTTCTTGATAGATGCAAGATAGGAAATTCTACTTCATGCCCAGGGAACCACTGAAAGATCTTAAGACCAGGCTAAGAAACTTGCGATAAGCTTCTTGGAGCTCAGAAGCCAGAAAAGGATACCACTAACAACACCAGAAGAAAATAGATAACTTAACTGAAAAGCAGATCTATTGAAAACAGCTCAGTGTTGTTACTAAACTTCCTTAACTGCTTTCACTTGTTAATTTTACCTGGTTTCTGAACTGTACCACATACGAAGTCTGCTTTTAGAGGTAGACGCATTTCTGAAATGGTAACAGATCCCCTGGATGGAGCAAATTCAGAAGATGTAGGTGCGGCTTTATTTCTTCTACCCTGAGGTCCCTCACTCTTCACTTTATTTAATTCTTCCAGCAAAGCAGCTCTCTTTTCAGCTGTACAGGGAACACAATTTTGAAGTATTACTGAACATAAGCTGTTTTACTGTTGCAACTTGTGAAGGAACGAGCTTCAGGATATTGAATCAAAGACCAAAGTCCCGAGTCACACACCAAAGTTCCAAATCAAACACAAAAGTCAAAGTCCCTTTATTAAACATAAGATGAAACAACTTATATACTGCACTGTTCCGGATGTAATACCTTATTTGTATAAAGGAAATACAAGCACCGTTCCCAAATAAACCAGTAATCTAAAGGCTTATATTAAAACTATCCAACCAGCTTCTTGGTCACATGGCAACCAGGCAGTTGCTTCTACTTCTTGTCTGCATGGAACACGTGCACTGCCATCCTTGAAGCTGGTTATCTACTAGCAAAACATGTCTCAAAATGGTCCTCCACATTATACTATGTATTTACATATGCATATATAAATATACACATATATAAAATGAAGAGGTGTCCATCATCTTCCAGAACACTGGAAGAAACAAACAGACCAAATGATATCATTTGGTCTACTGGAGAAGTTGACACAGAATAGGTATTTTTCTGTTACTGTTTTTCAGGAGAAAAGCTATAAGCAGTCAGGTAAAAGTGTCATAATAAATGAATTGTCTGAACTCAATTTTTCCCCATGTGTTCACAAGGTGCAGAGTTGGGCTTGAAACCTACTGGCAAGGAGAAGTAGCCTCTCTGCTTCTGCTTCCTCTTGAGACCCTTTTCCGTGTTCCTCATCAAAACAGCAGTTGAGTGCCTGGCTGGCTTGATGAATTACTGTCTGCTGCATGTTGATCTCATTGTTCAGTTCCTAGAGTAAGGCAGTAGTAAAAATAAGTAAAATTACACAAAACTTAAATGCAAAGAAAGGACTAGGAATGTCTCAAGATTAGCATCTCTGGCTATGCTTCAGCAAATCAGATTGTTTAGACATCTAGAAAACTAGAAGGTAGTGCAATTTACAGTTTTATTCCTAAACAAAACCAAAAACATACACACAAAAACAACCTGGAGCAGGGAACCAGTGAGGAAGCATTTACATGCTTCATAACCAGTCAGAGCACTAGCATCCCCTCAACCAGTATATATGGAAGAAGCTGTTAATCAGCAAAAATAAAAGTAATGTAGGTAAAGGACGCTCCAGAAGAATCAGAATATTGCTTACTAAAACGATGCAGTAGTGAAACCTGCATAATGCAGCGTCAGTAACAAAATACAGATTCGCTGTACCCTTTTCAAAGCAAGGCCTTGCCCTCCTAATAACGGATACATTAGCTACTTGAATTCTGCAGTTACGATCCAGTGCTCTTTATATCTTTATGATGCTACATAGCCTAATTTCACCACCCTAAGCATACACGAGTGCCCTGGGCAAGAAAATAAAACAAAAAAGGATTTGACTTGATCAGTTTGGCCATTCTTTCTCTTTTCTAGCCTAGAAGCAACATCTTCTTTACGAACAATGACTTGCTTTATTGAAGGACGATCTGTTTCTTTAACCCTCTGAGACCTATATGCATCAACACTTTAAAAAACAGGAGAGTTTAAGTTTACATATGTGTATATATAAAATGGTGAGGTACTGAATTTTCCAACTAGCCCAAAGGGCTTTTCAAAGAAAGTACTCTGTCAACTCATTTTAAGTGGAAGTAACAAAGACTAGGCAGAGAGGCAGCCTTTGACAGAGGATGAGAACTTGAAGAAAGCTTCTTTTGTAATTTAAGCAGTATAAAGATTCTTTCACCAAGGTATACTTGTATAACATGTTGTCTTCATCCTACCAGCTCAAGTTTTTTCTCTTTTAAGGCAATTAAAAAACACACACACACACACCACACAACCAAACACACCCACCCACGCACACCACACCCCCATAGCATTTTCATGACATATACCATCAGATAACTTAAGAGTTAATTACCTATACAGAAGGTTGCGATCTTCTGACCCAGAGCCAATACTATCGCCTGACTCTGCCCTGGGGACTTTAGTCCTTTGGAACTTCTCAGACTTCAGACTTGCTTCACTCACACTGCTGCCCTCACCAACTGACTGTGAAGGGGAAATAAACACCTAAGGAGAAAAAAGTTTTTACAAAAAAAATCTTTCCAAACTGATAATGACATGTTTCCTCTCATCTTTATGCTGTGATTACACATGAATATTAAATTCAGAGGCTGCCTAACAGTGTTGAAGGGCTAGTTTAAAAACATTAAGGACATAGAGCAACTTAGTTTATCATTTTTGCTTATTGTGTTGAAGAGCATTTTGCATTTTTGCTGGGGAGGGGACACCGAAGGAGGTGATCTCATTTTTTTTTTCTTTGTTTAAGGGACACCAACAGAAGCAGAAGATAAGTTTTCACCCTTAAGTTTCTAAATTGGTACTGTTTTGCAGTTATTTCTTTTAAAAGACTAGCAACAATTTCATTGAATGCACACATGCACCTATAACTTGGGCTGGACTTTATTTGTAAGCGCTCAAATGTGACTTAGCAAAACTTTAGCCACACTTCAGAAACTTTGCATCACTATATAAGGTCTCATTAATAAAATATAATTTGTAAATTACATACTTGCTCAGGTATCACCATAGACTTAATGTATCACTGCTCTTAAGCAAACTGGCTCATCAAAATGAAAAACAAGCACTTGCCCACCTCCAAAGAACACTCACCTCTGGACCAACAGATTCCACTAAAGGAGTTAAGAGAGACATTGATGAAATGTTTAGCGACTCCTCCTGCTCATCCTCATCACTTTCACCTTCCAAGCTCATGCTCATTTCCTTCTTTAGTTTTTCTATGTCTGGACCTTCCTCTTCAAGAACTTCAAAAATTTCATTTATCACTCTTGAGCTATTCAGCTCATCATCCACACTCATCTCAATTTCACATACTTCATCTGAAGAGTAACAGTTAAAAAAATTAGTAGCACCAAGACTAAACTCCTCAGTCTCAATAAACAGAGAGACAGTAATAGATAAGCTATTTTCCTCAAGTTGATTAAAAAATGTTATAGTGAAGCATAAACAACACTAAAGCAATGCTATATTAAAATAAAGCTGTTCGTGTCTCTACATCAGTTATGCACTATAGATGATACACTAAGAGATGTACTTGCCCAGCATTTCAATTCTGAAACTTAAATGCAAGTTCAAATCCCTTCCCAATGAGTGTTTTAATATGCTCTAAGACTTCAATGCCAAGATAGAAGTTTAGGATAAAGTTCCCTGACTTCTCATATATAAGTCTGATTACAAAAAAACATATGTAGAATATTAACAGGTATATGGTGAAATCATCATTTCAACTTGAAGGGTATTAACATCCTGCTAGACAAGGGAGGACAGCAAGCTAAGCACATTTTAATACATCTAATCAATACAAACCATTCTGTTTCACATGAAGTTGCTCAGGTTTGGATACAGACATCGCTTTTTTAGGGCTTTTGGTCAGTACAGTCTTCAAAGGACTGGGTTTATCAGTCTCTTCGCGTTTAGGAGTGTCTAGGAAGTTCATGAAAAAAGTCACTGAACAGAGTCTAGCCTTTGCTCTTTTCTTCCCCCCAAATTAAACATTTTTAGAAGTTTATTAATGTAGCTGACTACTTACAAGAAAAACATTGCTAAACTGAGTATTGGAGTTTGAAATTAAAATACATTTTTATTGTATTGATTGGCAACTTGTGCAGCTAAATTTATTCTGTCTTCTAATCAGAAAACAAATAGCAAAACAAGCAATGCTGAAGCAATAGCACAGTGCATGCCATTCAAGAGCAAAAGGGTAGAACAAAAATATCCCTCACTCACACCCACTCCCCAGAAAAAAAACCAAGAGCAGCATCTCATCCTGCTGTTCTAGAGAAACATTAGGAGCAGACAAATGTACATGGGAAGCATCAAACAGTCATTCCTCTTTCACAGAGGATAGGAGGCTCTGCCATTTACTGAACACCAGATGCGATGTCAAACATCACAGGATTCCTCACCCCTGCCCCCATGGGAAATAATGCTATTATAAGGAAAAACCTTAAACTAGTGTGGAAAATCGGATACAAAGACATTTGTATTACAATATCCTCAATCACTGCCTCTGCACTTTATAGGAAGATATGAGATATTGGTAGATCCTAACAAAAAAAAAAAAAAACACAAAAAAACAAACAAACAAACAAACAAAAACACACACACACCCCAAACACACAGGCCATCTGCCTTGCCACTCTTTCAAGTGGTGCAGAAGTTCAGAATTGTTATCACATGGAAGACTTAAAGCCTGACAGTCAAATAAGGAACAGAGATCCACTTGTGAACACCAGTGCTACTAGTCTAACTGCTTTTTAATAGAGGACAGTGCTTCAATACAGTATTTGCCACATGTTAACAGTGGCAGTTCTCACCTGAAGATTCCACACTGGGAGACTTTACTGGTTTATCCTCTGCCGGTGCATCGTCCGCTAATCCAGAAGCAGTGGCTTCTGAACTAGGAGGGTGGTTTGGACTAGCCCGAGACTGACTTTCCTATCAGAGATAAAAGAAACCTTTTTACTTTCATGAGATTAAGTTCAAACTAAGAAAACTGTGTGAAACAAACAAACATTTTAGAATGTGTTAAGAAAAGATCCAATGTCAAGCAAGATCGTGTTCAAGAAAATTAACTGAAGTACTGGATACTAAGTAGATTTAGCATGAAGGACCTTTTTGTTTTTGAAGTTTTTTTAGAGTATAAAAAACACACCTAAAGCATCATCAAAAATAAGTCAATTCATAACAATATTGTTTGTTTTCTTCTGAAGCCTTTAATTAAGGAGACAACAGTCACACACATACAATACTTCAGTAATAATTAGACAAACCACTTGGCAACAGTCTTGAAATTCTGGGCTCTTTGCACACCCAGACTGTACATCTTTGCCCATCTACCCCTGTACCCAGAACACATTAAAACAATTCACAGATGATCAACTTCTGATTCTTTACCATTCTAGTTTCTGGAAGTTTTCTCTTCGAGCTTTCGTTTCTCTCTGCACTCCACAGATTCCTCTTATCAAACCGGCCACGAATACATGCAAGTTCTCTTTCACGTTCCTAAGCAAGCAATGAGCAAGGGGAAGAGTGACAGTTTTAAGATGTCAAGATATTTAGATTTCTTCAGGGAAGTACAGAGCAGTAGGAATCTTTCCCAGGTTTATAAATAAGCTTGGGAGAATTCCAACTCATACCTGCTTAAGCTGCAGCGCTAAACTGGCAGTAGAGGAATTCTCATTTTGTTTGAGAAGTCTTTCCTGGATTGTCCTTGTATTTGGGGTAACGATGGGTGTTCTGTACCCTGCTGTATTCGTAGCAGGACTCTGTGCACTATGTTCTTGACAACGCTCTCCAAAACGTTCCAAGAAGGGCTTAATTCCCGATCCTCCTACAAGAATTGTTTTTCTTAAAAGAAATCCTCAAAAACATAGAAGTTACACTGCAACTTTACAGCCCACTGAATGTTCTCAAGGAAGTAACCAAGATATCCCCTCTACAGCTCTTATCCTGCTGTACTTTACAGAAACTAAACCTGAAGTGCAAGCATAGATACACTGCATCCACCTCACTCAAGCTTATCTTCTACTGTCAGCACGTCCAGACACAGTTGCTGTAGCCTGCTTGAAATCTTTGAAATGAATAAGTTTCTGACAAAGTAGTTTATTTAAAATTGGGAAAGAACATTTGTGACACTTGTGTTATCACTGAAAGGACACTATGCAAGCTTAGGGATCTACTTGCCATTCTAAATTGAAAGCTTTGCTGTCTACTAAAAAATTATGGAGACTCTTCTTTTCCTGGTATATTTTGGATGTATATTGTATCTAACAATTTTAAAGAAGCTTTGAATTGTTTAGGTTGACAGATGTTAGGACAGGTTTTTACATAAGAAAAAAGTTAGATCAATTTTATTCTTGGTAGTTTTTACATTACATGTCCCAAAACTTGCAAAATATGAAAACCCTACTAATCTATATCGTCATTATAATAGATCTCTTCAGTACTTTAGTTATAGTGGGAAATACAGGCCACCTGGTACATTACTCACCATATATTGTTAATGAATATGTACTTTTCAACACAGCATTAAAGAGGATTTGCATAAATATTTATTGAAGATGATGAACAATATTTACCTGGTGTTGTGGGTTTATCCTGAGGTTCAAGTTGCACATGTGTTCCTTTGGCTAGTCCTTTTTTGGACTGAACGGGTTGCGACAGAGTTGATTTTACTGTTTGTTTAATTTCTTCAGTTTTCTGTGGACTGCAGGGATTCTCTGCTGGTGACAAGGATATTTCAGATTCCTTAGACCTGGAAACAGTGTCTCTTGAGGGTTTTGTATTTGGATCCTTAACAAGAAGAAATATTGAAATGAAACTTTAGATTCTTACACATTCTTCCAAGAGAAAAAGATGCATTCTGCACAGCACACTACAGAACTACACTACATAATACACTAACATTATACACTAGCATTATACAATGAAAAGAGCAGAAAACCAAAGTTATAGGCTTTTTGTAGCATTTTGATCCATTATTTCATATTATTTCACTATTTGATTCAAGAGATTTGCCAGCTTCTTCATATACTTTCCCATGACTCCCCAAACAAAATCATTTGTACATATTGCCATTTTGTAACTGGAACAACAGCTATCAGGTACTAGTTTCAGCATTCTGGTGATTTCCCATAGCATTAATAGTTACAGATTTAATTCAGTCAGCTTATCAACTATACACATACACACATTCAGTTTTAAATCTCAACAGAGGAATTCTAAACTGTTTCAGGTTTATTTTAAAAAGGTAATAGGGCATTTCATTAAGGCAAAAGTTAGAAATCGAGATAGCTCCCTTAAAGGTTTGTTGTCAGCAATCTGCACCCTAATTAAACAGGTATGCATTAAGATTCCTCCCCCCACAAATATCCCAATAGATTCTTAATCGGCAGCTAATCAGACACTCACCGCTATCTTTGAGGTTGCTGGTTTATTAATAGAAGCCTCAACGATCCTTTGAGAACAGGATGCAGCTTCCTGCTTTACACTGCTGCTATTGATTCTAGCAGATGCTCCACTTGTAGTGGACAATTTGGATAAACAAGTAGTACCAGGCTGTTGTTGTGCATTGTTTTGCTTTGCAGATGGATGACTTAGGTCATCTTCCCAGGAACCAATTGTAGCAGCAAGGTTAGCTAAACGGCCCCTTCTCCCAATCGGGGTGTCACTTGCCAGGGCAAGACAGGGCTGCTTAGGTGGAGAAACAGACACGTCCTCCTTTGACTGGAGGGGAGACAGATGAGCACATTCAGAAGGATCTGGGAAAAAAAAAAACACATTTATTTTGCTAACAAATATATATATATTTGCATTTTAATATGTTAAGTTCATCTGCTATTAGACATTATTCCTATATCGAAGGAATCAGAATATTAGCTTTGAAGGTACTGGGACTATTCAGATTGAAATAAAGGTCATGGCAAAGCCAACACATTTTTTATCGAGCAGTTTACTAGTTTTATATAATTTATAAGGAGCAAGAAGCAAGTAGTTGGAAAAAAGGTATACAAAACTAAGCTATAGTCAATAGTTTGATTATTTCAGGCACCCATTTCTCCTTCTTCCCTAGTACTGGCTATAAGAATTGTTTACGAAGGCATATTAAGCATTCATACACATAAAGCTGTCCTCTGCTAGCACACTTCATCAACACTAACAATGAAAAAATTAATGCTGATTAGCAAGCAAGACATACCCTCGTTATCCCAACAACGTCGCTGTTCTGCCAATTTCTGCATACGTGTTTTGACCGAAAGGGCTGCAGGAGTTTCTGTCTTGGCATTCGTTTTACCTTTCTCAGAGGACTGAACTGATGGAGCCCTGCTGGAAGCAGCTACATGCAACTCTGAAGTCATCTCAGGAGAATGGCTGTTTGCGGAACTTGAAGAAACTGGCTGCCTATTCTCTAAACTGGAAACTTGAGCCTCCATACTGTCAGAGCACAGCCTCTTTGATGGTGATGGCTTTGTACTAGATTTCACTGTATAAGTTAAAGTATTTAAAAAGTTAGTATCATCTAAAAAAATCTTCATTGAAACAGTACAAGAGTGCAACATAGATGAAGCTACAATGTAAGTATACCTTGATAAGTCTTTCAAAAATTACCCTATCCAAGTTTTACCAAACATGAGACACTGGCATCATATCATTGCTTTTAAATAGCTTACTAATTATTTGGAGCAACTGCTGTCAGATTAAGCTAAATACTATTCATATTCAGACCCAGTGGGTAGGTGACTTCATCCATCATTGTTTAGTTTAGGATGAACACTACAAGTTATCCCACTACCCCCCACTCCCACATGAAAAAAAAAAAAAAAAAAGAGATGGAGCTGAAAGCAAAAGATAATTATTGACTGTTCATATATTGATAATGATACTTGTTGTAAGATACCTTCTTCACCAGGCAGAGGTGTCTGGTTACTAGTTTCTACCAGAGGCTCCCTGACCCTCTTAGCCTGCATTGTGGATCTTGCTCCTGCCGTAGGTCGCTCGGCCATTTTCTTCTGCAGATTCTCTCGCCTGGCACGAGTACGTTCAAGTAGTTTCTACACAGTTAATAAATCACATTTAATAAATGTTACTATATACTGCAGTATGCTTGGTAGCCAATACAGTTCAAGCTAGAAGTTTTTTACTGCGATAAGCGTATAATAAGGAATATTATACCAGAAATACATTAAGACTACTTTCCAAAATAAATACGCCTACCAGATGTTGCTAGCTGATCTACTGTAGTGCATGCTATGCTACAGAAACATTCAAAGTTTGTTTTTCTGACTGCTTATGTCCTCCTCCAGCTGAAAGCAGAACAAAACAAACATGTTTCTACATATGCATATATCTTACTTCATTTTTCTCACTGCAGTAACTCCTGACCCCTATGATGCTTCCACTTCACTACTGCAATCTGTCCTGCTTGCCTCATTTTTCAGAAGTACTACTGACCTAAAAGGCAGTTTACATTAGGCAAGACAGGTATCCTCCTGCTCTCTGGACAGTAAGGACTGCAGGGCACCTGCAGTTTTTTTGCCCTGCGGAACAGACTATGGGCTGTAACATTTCATTCTCAGAGGTATTCATTTGGGTCTTCTCTCACATAGCCACAAAGATGCTCAAAGACTGTAGAAACACAGTTAGATGCAAGAGACCTACTCCTTTGTTAAATACAGATGAAGCTGTCTAGCAGGTTCCAAAGCTCCAGTCATTAAATCAACTAGTGTCTCCAACTGGCTTGGCTTTCAAAATAAATCAGGCTAGAGAGAAACAACTAATGGCAAAAGGAAAAAATAGATGTTTCTATAGAGTCTGAAACAACCAGAAATATTTATCAAAGTAATGAGAAATTCCTACTGAATCACCACATGACAGTCGTAAAGAACTGTCAAGTCTGGCTAGTAGGCCTTTTTTGGCATCTTGCTGACACATGCTCAGGTCATCTGATGTAACACTAACCTTTTGGCAAAAGAAATAATGTTAAAGTGGTTCCCAGTCATAACAGGACTCTCCCCGCCCCCCTCCCAAAAGAAAGCAAAAGTAGAATATGGCTATTAAAATAAAAGAATTTTGGAACTTTAACATAAGGAGTAAAGTATGAAGTCATAACTATTCATAGTTATATATAGGCTATTTATAATATCTCTATATATTTCTCTATATACAGATTTATATTTGTTCAGCTATCTTAAACATATTCTTTCTTGCCCTAGCCATTAGAAATCTGAATAACATGATCCTATTCCATAGGAACTAGCTGCTTAATGAGTATTCTACACTAGTAACAAGTAATTCCTTATAGCACTCAAGTATGAAATAAATTGTTTTTAAAACAGCATTCGTAAAGCAATATCATTCAATTTGATCATATCTAAAAATGCTAAATTACACCTTTGTTCTAGGTTGTAAGGCAATTTGAGAACAGAAATTGTGATTGAACTAACAGACTTTAAAGGGAAGCACATAAACTGCACTCATTTGGTGGCACATAAATTAGCAAGAGAACTGTGCCAGCCATTATCTGTCCTGCTGCATAGCAATTAAATACACATTTCACATTTTTAACTGTCTGAGGCTGAAGTCTTAAACAATCTTTCATTGTATGTCAACACAGAACAAATGGAAAGTCAAACTCGGTTTTCTGTGAAAGAAAAACGCCACTTTTCTAATTTCTATAGCAAAATGGGGCAGGGAAAACATATGAAATACTAAGAGTGCCTTCACTTGGAGTTACACAACAGTTTTATTCCTAAGTGTTTTGTTGATGTCACCCACTCAAAACAGATGTGCAGGTACAATACACACAAATAAGACAAAGGTTATATAAAAGTTGAATGTATTCTCCAAAACACTATTCTTATAGATCTATTCAAACACACAGGCACACACAGTAAAATCAAGTTTCAGTTGTAACACATAGGATGTCATTTCACAGGAATGCATGCCTCTGTTGTGGAAGCCGCAGCGCTATTGGCTTGTAGAATCTCAAATTTTCCATGCAACAGCCCGAATTCAAACTCTGCTATTGTACACGATGAGTAAGCCGCATGTCACCAGACTCAGGACATACTTTTCAAGATTATTAACAAGGTATTTACAAGCAGTATGTTGAGTGTTCTGATGACAGCTGAAGTTTCAAAGCAGAGCTTAAGCATTTCATTATATATAGGGATTTGAAATCTTATTCACACAGTTAGATGACCAAGCTTCATGTGTCAAGAGCACTTTTTTAAATTACAGAAAGTCTTTCCACTTTTAACATAACAGAGAAGCTCACTTTTTGAAAGCCTGTGCTAAGGCACACACATAGACCCTATTTAGAAGTGTTAAAGAAGAAAGGGCAACTCTTAGATGAGCACATCAGGACACATGTTCAGTCATTGCAATTAAAGAAAAAGTATCCATTGCATGATCTCAGAGTGTTCTGTATTAATATTTTTGCTGACATTCAGCAGGTTATTAGTTTTTGCTTTTAAAGATTAATCAAAAGAAATATGATTTAAAAACTGCACAATCTAAAAAATTTCTAATGAGATATAGGGCAAAATTTATTTGAGCTTAAAGCAAGCTAGTCTGTCCTAGGATAAAATTTACTTTGTAACATCAGGAAACACTAAGCTAGCAGTATGCATTGTCCAACTAAGGCTTGAACTATGCTTCTTTATAAGATCATCAATTTTAACACTTCACCACTCCCCAACAAGTAACAGAGCTCACTCACTTGTGTGTGTGTGTGCGCGTGTATGTGTATATATAATATATATAACCTGAAAACAGTCAAGTTAGAAAAAGGTTATGCCAAAAAAATACCCCACACATTTTTATAGTAGATGATACCAGAATTGCTTTTAGAAAAGTTTTTTGAGGAAAGTTACTAGATATAAATTCAAACATACTAACATGGTCAGATTTTTTTTGCCCAAGAGTGAAATGAAGTCCTCCACATTCTTGACAAGACAACATGTTAGGCACCCTGCAGGCCTAGCAAACATTTGAGAAGTTTACTCAAGGAGCGCCCTCTGAGTTGGTCATAGTTTTTCAGAATCAGTTATCTGGAAGAAGGGCGTGTTCAGGCTGGAATACTTCCCAGCATGCAAAACAACTTCAAACTTGATCAGAAGTGTGGATTTGAAGTTTACTTAAGACTAGCCTCATCATGGCACTCACTACCAAGTAAGGAAGGCAGTTTTAATTGTTTATACTTAGTAAGCTTTACATGGGGGTAATGGAAGCCTGTCTTGCTACAAAAAAATTAGTCCATACATTTGGGTCAATACTACATGTAATCTTTTAAAATCAGATCTACACAAGCCTCTTTTACAGGCAATTAATTTAAGGAAAACAAATTATATCTCAAACAGACACACAAAGAAAGGAGAAGATGTGTTTCTTCAGTGTACTTGATTTGAAGATTTTTAGTTTAGCTCTTTGTTCAGACAGGCTGTGGACTTTAAATGTCGATTTTTTTTTATTTTATTTTACTAAAGTATTCTTAAAGCAGTCACATGACAACTCCATGGCTTTAACCCTGTCACATCTAAGAAAGCTACAACCTTTATACAAATTCAGGGTGGCCAATTCCATTCACTTCATTCCAACTTGGTTTTGCAAACCTCAAGCAAACAAACACAAGTCTACTTTTAACAATTACCCTTTCTTGCTTTTTAAAAAGAGGAACTGAGCTCGCCAATGAAAGTGACTGCTCGCAGGAGGCCATCACATCAAATAAGATTCATTTTTTAAACAAAGTGCTCAGAGTCGCAGACAAACCTCAACCCAACCCTCAGATATGCCAGGTTCAGGGTGCACAACACCATCCCCCGTAGCTTTAAATCCTCCAGCTGAAGCAGCAGCAGGAAAACTTTTATCTGTCAGGCACACATGAAAGGCAGACACTAAAGCCTAGCAAACCCCAGCTAGGCCTCACTGCCCTTTCAAAGGGGCCTCTCTGCCTTTCAAAGGGGCTTTCTCCTGAATAACCCCTCTGTTTGCTCATGGACAGAACCACAAGCCTAACAAACACCCACTCAGCTGCAACATAGGAGGAACGAGTAAATAAGAGCAAGATGAAGAGGCAGATAAGGGTGTGCGGGGAGGCCTGTCGGCTCCCCGGCAGACTCC